GAGAGAGAGAGAGAGAGAGCTACGGTGGGCAGGCCGTATGTGAGGAGGGCAGAGGTGGAGGTGAGGTGGGCAGAGGCGGATGTGAGGTGGGTGCAGGTGAGCGTAGGTGGAGGCGGGAGCGGAGGAGCAGAGGCGGAGGAGAACTGGCGGGGGAATGCCGAGAGAGAAGTGGGAGAGGAATCCCAAGGGGTGGGGGGAGGCGGAGTGGAGGGGGCCGGAGGGAGGAGGCGCAGGCGAGGTGGCCGCCGAGCGGAGAAGAGGTGGGTGGAGGCAGGGAGGAGATGGTGGGCGGTGGCGGAGGGGAGGTGGGCGAAGGCAGAAAGGAGATGGCAGGGGGAGGCGGTGGGCGGAGGTGGAGGCGAGGTGGGCGCTGGGCGGAGAAGAGGTGGGCGGAGGCGGAGAGGAGATGGTGGGTGGAGGCCAAGAGGAGATGGTGGGCGGTGGTGGAGGGGAGATGGCTGGAGGAGGCGGAAGAGAGGTGGGCAGAGGCGGAAGGTGGGAGCCGGTGGAAGAGTCGAGGTGGGCAGGCGATAGGGCCCGTTGGACTTCAGTGCAGGGAAAGCATCGCCCTGCAACGGGCCACAGTGCCACCCTGAAACGGGCCCTGTTTCCAACGGGCGCGCCAATCTGGGCCGCCCGTGGTCCTACTGGCCCGACGGTCCGGATTTCCACGCGATGTTAAGACTTTAAGATCGCGCGACCATCCAAGCCGTCCGGCAAAGCGGACGGTCTGGATCGCCGCGTGATCTTAGTCTTGAAGTCTTAAGATCGCGCGGAAATCCGCGACGTCGGCCGGTACGCCACGGGCGGCCCGGATCGGCCAAATGTTCCGCGCCAAATAGTGATTTCCATAAGTGTAGGGACATAGTACATAGTATATAGTACAATGGACTACATACTACATACTACATAGTATATAGTACAATGGACTACATACTACATACTACATACTTACCCAAGAGCTAGTACATAGTACATAGTACAATGGACTACATAGTACATATTACATACTACATACTACATACTTACCCAAGAGCCAAGTGGGTGGGTACACAGCCAGGGTAATCAATGCTGGCAGGTTTCTCCTTTAAATTTTTCCTGATGATTTCACCCTGTGTATGGGACGCTGGACCCGTTTTCCAGCAGGTGATGCTCCCCACCAATAGATGGAGCCCCTCCACGGGTGGTAGTGGTTTCTGCTCTTATCAGCACCACTATCACCGGTAGGGGTGTTAAAACAACAACAACAACAACAACAACAACAACAACAACAACAACAACAAAAAAGGCTGTACTCCAACGAGACACAAGTGCCATTTTTGTGATCATTGTACTCCAGGATGATGACATATATATGTACAAAAGGAAAGCATCAGGACGCAAAGTGAGGACAAGGATAAGGATGAGGAAAAGGATGCTGCGAGGGATCGTTCGGGTAAATGACTGTGGCAACGGACGATCCCAGCTTATCAGTCATGCAACCAGGTTTCGTTTTCGGCTTTTTTAACCCTTTCATAACTGATCCATTTGGAAGACCAGATACTAAGGACTGCGAAGTGTTCAAGACCCAGGCAGATGGTTTTTTTTTTTCTTTTAATTGCTCCACGTGGCACTCTATCAAATCGGAAATTTCAAATTTCAGCTTCAAAATGTTTATCGAGTTATATGACCATCCCAGCATTCATCGACCATTCATTTGCTGGCCCCTATTGTAGACTATACATTTCACCACTTTCGGGAAAAGAAGGGAGGGCCAGTTGAACAAAAAGTTAAAAAAACACTACGGCATCCTAGGGTAGTCTGGTCCCAGGATTACAAGGAAAAAAGGTGACACCTTCGGCAAAGACAAGGAAAACGTTCAAAAAGCAGAAAAAGAACAAAATTGCCAAAAAATTATGCTCACAGCCTCACATGTTTTTCATCAGCTTTTTCCCACGTCTAGAAGGCCAGCCTACCCTCGCATACAGAAGCAAATGAAGAGACAGAAGGGCAGAGAGCTGAGGGGCAACAGAAGTGCCACAAAGTCGATAAGGGATGAGAAGGCTGAATGAAGTCATAATCTGCATTAGCACCAAATGCAAGATCTGGTGAAGGCAAGGCGTATGTCCACACTGAATTCTCTCTCTCTCTCTCTCTCTCTCTCTCTCTCTCTCTCTCTCTCTCTCTCTCTCTCTCTCTCTC